TTCAGGCTGTGCTGAGAAACACCCCTCCCCCATGCACGAATTTCATGCACCGGGCCTCTAGTATATATATATTACAATCTTTAAGGTCAAGCGATGAAGCAAAATCTTATCTTTTATTGGGCAAAATATAATTGGGTAGAACAGGAGAACTTGGTATTGACCCTATACATAAAAGACTCTTTTTATTTTTAAATCCTCACTGAGAATATGTTTTTATTGATGAGATGGGGGTTGGGGGGGAGGAATGGAGAGATTGAGAGAGAGAATGAGAAAGATAGAAACATCAATGTGTGAGAGAAACATCAATTGGTTGCCTCCTATACACACCCTGACCAGGATGGAACCTGAAACTTAGATATGTGCCTTGACTGAGAATCCAACCTGCAACTTTTTGTTGTACAGGACAATGCTCCAACCAACTGAGCCACCCAGCTGTGGCAGGAGACTCATGTTTTAATCAGCTTATTACTTCTGAATCTTTCAACATAATTTATTTAAGTACATGTTTGGAGAGTTTAAGGCTGCAGTTCTCAACCTGTGGGTCCCAACCCCTTTGGGGGTCGAACGACACTTTCCCAGGGGTCACCTAAGACCATCAGAAAACACATATATAATTATATAGTTTGTGTGATTAATCACTATGCTTTAATTATGTTCAATTTGTAACAATGGATTTGGAGGTCACCACAACATGAGGAACTGTATTAAAGGGTCGCGGAATTAGGAAGGTTGAGAACCACTGATTTAAAGAGACTCTTGATGTATAAACTATTAAGACTATTCTTTTTCTACTCGCCCCTGTATAAATAAGAGAGCTATAACATACACAACAATGTGTTTCACTATCTGAAGACTAGTATACTTTGCAAAATAATTTGTTGCAGTGATTCAGAAAAATAATGATTTTGAAGGTGTTTGGGCAGTTTTTATATAGTTTAGAGCCAAAAAGCCCTTTGGGGGTATATAAATTTTCTTCAATCAAAAACTCAAAAAAAGATCATGTTATTTAGCTAGACCACAATCTATGATTAGCCAAAATATGTTAATTTACTCAGTCATTCTTTTACTGAATGGCCATTAAGTATCAGACACACCACATTGATTCTAAGGACCTAAAACAGAATAGTGATATGATTAGATTTGCATTTTAGAAGATCCTGGGGCTGTTGTGTGGATTGAATGGACTACAGTTAATAACACTGCATGGAATACTGGAAATTTTCTAAGAACATAGATTTCAGGTGTTGTCTCTCTCTCTCTCTCTCTCACACACACACACACACACACACACACACACACACACACACACACACAAGCACACTGTAGGAG